CCATAGTATAGTGAAATCAGGGATAGTAGGGAAAAAATTGAAAGTGATAGTAAGTTAGTTCCGAAAAAGTTGGCCACTACACCCCCCCCCCCCCCCCCGAGTTTGGGCAACTTAATTTTTGTTTTTTTTTTTTTTGCTTGTCAACTTTTTCAGGTAAGTAAAAAAAAATTTCTCTGGTTGGCCCCCCCACTTTCAAAAACGATGCTACGTGCCTGTGAATGGATTTTGCTGAAAATTATGGATGTACATCAGTAGAGGAAGTTCAGTCTGCATACTGGAACGCAGCAGCTATCACACTGCATACAATGGTTGTATACTCTAAAAGTGACACAGGAACAAAGACACGGAGCTATGTTGCTGTCTCAGATGTTTTGAGTCATAATGCCACAACTGTGTATACAATTCTTCGCAAATTCATTCCTTCCCTGAAAAATGAAAATCCACATTTGAAAACGGTGCATTATTTGAGTGACTCACCCACCAGTATAGGAATAATATAGGAACAAAACTATTTTTCAATTCATTGCCGATCATGAAGAGGAGTTCGGAATCTCAGGACGCTGGAGCTACTTAGAAAGGGTCCGTGCGATGGATTGGGTGCAAGTGTCAATAGGGCAGCGGACAATGCAGTTAAGCAAGGAAAAACATCAATTCATTGTGCTGAAGAATTTTCGAAATGGGCTGAAATGGCTGTAGAATCAGGAAGTAAGGTAACCTTCATTTTCTTTACCCAGATAGACTATGACGAATCCGAAAAAATTCTCTCGGGGCGAGTCTCACCACTACTGTTTTTTTTTTATGGCCAAAAATGTTGTCCAAAATATTCCATATTTTTATTCTTCGTGTGTTAACAAAATTGTATTGTTAGAAAAATTTCTTTTCAAAATCGATCACTATTAATTATCTTCACATTTTCATTACGTATATATACAGACCTAGAGGAAATTCGAGCATTAATTCTGACATCAATTTCTATACAACATCGTGCGGATTGTAGCCATAGTACAAAATAAAACATCTTTTAAAAACTATGCTATGTCGTCTATTAGTGCTGAATATTTTTCTTATATCTCATTTCTTAAAAAAGAATTTATTTCGTCGGACTTCTAATTACGGCAAAAAAGAGCCGGTTTCTGTGGACGCGGTCTTTTTTCTATAGATAAACATAGACGATATTATAATAACATTTATAAGTAACAAACAGCAGTGAAGATAGAAATATTTTATAATGTCAATGTTTTAATAATCTACCTTCAATTATTTTTTTAAATAAAATTCAAACATATTGGAGTTTTCTAATCCGCGTGTATGCTATGCGGGTACATGAAAGCGTTTGACGCGTGACCAGGTAATTGTTTTCAAAACATGCAAACTCAGAATATCGGGAAGCACAGGTAGCTGACCTGTCCATCAAATCAGAAGCTATTGTTTTTTTAATGATTGACAGGCGGTAAATTATTGATCTTGAATCAGGTAGATTTTGTGGGCGTTAACATAAAATTGGGTGTTTAAGGGGACCTTTAAGGTGCATTATGTAATTGGAGGTGGCCTAAACAAGATATATACAAGAGAGGTGACCTGTTATTGCGATAAGAGTAGGGTGGACATTACACAAACACAATGTGAGGGGTACACTTACATCTACCTACCAGGATGAAAACCATGAAAATTTAGTTTCATGTACAGCCGACAATGACAAAGGAAAAATGATTTGGAAAACAAAGAAAAGCAGATGTTGGCAAGTTGGCAAAAGATTCTTGGATAGCAGCAACTTATATGAAAAAATGGTACCTTGGACAAGTACAGGGTATCGATAAGGAGGATGGTGAGGTATTTGTACGTTTCATGGTTGCTTGTGGCAAATATGGTAACAGTTTCAAATCAGGGGCGTAGCAACAGGGGGGGGGGGGCTGCCCCCCCCCCCCACTTTTTTTCCCAACCTTACTTATACTATAGGAAATGTTAATTGAAAGCCTGGTTGGACCCCCCACTTTTAGACTTTTATTGATGTACCGAAAATGTAGTATTAGAATTGATACTAAAAGTAGTTGACACTGAGAAAAAGTATACCCCCCCCCCCCCCCCGCAATAGGATTTTCGACTTTATTGAACTTTTCCTTTTTTTTTTTTTTTTTGCTCGTCAACATTTTCAGGGAAGTAAAAAAATTTTTCCTCTGGCTGGCCCCCCCACTTTCAAAAACGATGCTACGCCACTGAAAGTTGTAGTTGGGATAATATTTTTCCGGATTTTTTTTTTTAAAAAAAAACTTAAGACTCATGTGCATGTACAACATTGAAAATAGATAAAACCCTTTTCATGTTTTAAATGTCAGAAGTATGGTGTAAGTGGTACAAATATTTCAATACCAGAAGTTAAGTGTAGAGTGATTGTCGTTTTCTTCAAGGGCAACTTATTTGTACATTGAAATAACTCCTCACAAAAAGTCGAATAGTCGTAAGTCTTAATTTTTTCCGATCGTAAGACTTTCACAAATTTGCACTAAGCCGATATGTAATTAAAAAAAAATAAAATGCTTTTTCTAAAGTACAGTTTCTGGTATGCTAGAGTATTTTAAGTAAGGTATGTAAAAATGTTGGATTTCTTTCAACTTACCTAAAGAGAAAATAACATTTCTTAGTCATCATTTCGCAAGTTCTATGGTCGATTCAATGACCTTGTCATGCAAATACAATATATAATTTTATTAAAAGCCAAATGCTGGCTGACGTTTTCCATTAACTGCATGTGAGGCCATTATTTACATACTGAAATGTCGACGGATGTTTCCGTTAATTCCCAATTGCAACAGGGAGCACGGACAGGAGTGATCAGTTAGCTGGGGATGTTCACTCCTACATAGCATCTGTTATATTTTGAATGGAAAACTCTGCTCAGTTGGCGCGTTTACATGTATATTTATTTTTCCGGAACATGTGCACATAACATACAAGAGGCCCATGGGCGGGCCTTATAGGTCACCTGAGCATTATTCAACAACTTTCCAGTGATTGAATTTGATCCATGTTTTAAGCCAGATGCTATAGCATTTACAATTTGGTCATCATAACTATACACTTAGCAGTTCCTTAGTTTGGTTACTTAATACCCATAGGCAGGGTAGGGGAACAAAAAATGCATTTCAACAAATCAGTAATATTCAGCAATAATGAGTAGTGCCGCTACCACACATGAACCCTGGACTCTTAGGCCTAGATCCACACATTGTACAATTTTTGGAAAGGCATTCATGCTTTTCAAAAATATTTGATTAATACAAAGGAGCACATTTCAAACAATTCATTCATTTTCAGTATATAAGTACAGCCCCCACCCCCCTCTATGGTACAACTGACCGTGGGGCCTTGAAATTTACAATTCTTGAAGATTAGGGCCCTTGCTCATAACTATATAGGTAGTTCATCTGCTTAAAACCTAGGTGCAAAGAAGAAAATATTCAAAGATTTAATGTTTTTGTTCACTATACATGTATAATCAATATAGCCCCCCCTAACACCAGAACTCCTGACCCTGGGGCCATAATATTCATAATTTTGGTAGAGGCACTCTTGCTTATCATAACTATGTACTTAGTTAGTTTATATAAAATCTAGGAGCAGAGAAGAAGATTTTTAAAGAATTCATGTATTTTCACTATATAATCAATAGAGCCCTGCCCTAACACAAGAACCCCTGACCCTGGGGCCATAAAATTCACAATTTTGGTAGAGGCACTCTTGCTCATCATAACTATGTACTTAGTTAGTTTATTTAATACCTAGGAGCAGAGAAGAAGATTTTCAAAGAACTCATGTATTTTCTCTAAATGATCAATAGAGCCCCGCCCTAACACAAGAACCCCTGACCTTGGGGCCATGAAATTCACAATTTTGGTAGAGGCACTCTTGCTCATCATAACTATGTACTTAGTTAGTTTATTTAATACCCAGGAGCGAAGAAGAAGATTTTCAAAGAATTCATGTATTTTCTCTATATAATCAATAGAGCCCCGCCCTAACACCAGAACCCCTGACCTTTGGGCCATAAAATTCACAATTTTGGTAGAGGCACTCTTGCTCAACATAACTATGTACTTAATTAGTTTATTTAATACCCAGGAGCAGAGAAGATTTTCAAAGAAATAATGCATTTTCACTATATACCTTTTTAGCCCCACCCTAGCACAAGTACCCCTGACCCCAGGGCCATGAATTTCACAATTTTGGTAGAGGACTCAATGCTGATTACAATCATGCAAACAGTTTGACTGCTTGATGTCCAGGAGTAAAGAAGAAGATTTTTAAAGATTGCATTAATTTTAGTGGTTTTTGCCCCACCCCCCAGGCCCCAGGGGGGCAGGGACCATGAAATTCACAATTTTTGTTCCCCTTTACCCATAGATGCCTTGTGCCAAATTTGGTTGAAATTGGTTCAGTGGTTGCAGAGAAGAAGCTGAAAATGTTCAAACGTAAACACACGACGCACGACGAACGACGCACGACGACGGACGAAAACAGATGGCAATAGGTCACCTGAGTTTACTCAGGTGACCTAAAAATACAAAACCAATACGAACACGAGACACACAATTACGGGTAACACTAATTAACAATATTGAGTATTTTTGACCATAGACTGAGTTACACGATATTACATCTCTCCCTTTCTTAGATTTGAAACCTTATTCTTCAAACAGATATTTTCAATTTTAACATGGTTATAAATTTCTGACTAGAGTTTCTTTTTATATTCAAATAATACTTAATTAAATCGAATGACTAGATCTACGAGTGTTCAATAATACATATTAAACAAATACTGGTTGTTCTGTGATACATAATAAACATTTATAAATTGACATGTAGACAAAATAAACAAACAAATACTGAATACTTTAGGGGATTATTATGCCCCTCACTGATTATTCACATACACACGCGTCACATAATCTTGTAAGTATGCAGGCTGCTTCCTTTGTCTTGTGGGTCGCAGTGTTTGTGGGTCATCGTCTTGTGGGTCGCGGTGTTTGTGGGTCATCGTCTTCAACCTCTGGGTTTGTCGAATGATTTCTCTGCACTGGGGCATCTATAATCTCTTCTTCATCAGCCGCTTCTGTCGTCTGGGGTCGATGTCTTGTTTTCTTAAAGAATGATGTGTTTCGTGTTACGTTCCTCTCGGTCTGTTTAGTAGTTAACATGTTTCCTTTTTTTGCTAATCACGATGTGAGGATTAGGATCATACGCAGGTGTGGTCTTGTTTTCTTTGACTTCATTTCTTAATAGTATATGGTCGCCAATCCGAATATCACTCTGTCTTGTTTTCATTCTTACGTCCGCATCGGCTTTCATCATTGTTTTTGAGATTTCATCATTCTGACGCAGGAGTTCATCATTCCTGGTTTGTTTCCTTGGGATGGATGGAAGCTTTGTCTTTGTCTCTCTATTAAACAGTAGTTTGAAAGGGCTTATTCCTGTTGAGCTGTGTGGGGTTGTTCTGTACTGTCTCAGGAATTGGAACATTGACTGCTTCCAGTTTCTCCTCTCTATCTCGGCTGCTTTGATCTTCATTAATGGTTTGTTAAATGCTTCTGCTTGTGCATTTGCTCGAGGCCATCTTGGAGTAATTTTCCTATGAGTGAATCCGGTATTGTTAGCGTATTCTCTAAATTGATGTGAGTTGAACGGACTTCCGTTGTCTGTCTTGATGACTTTTGGAATTCCAAAGGTAGACAGTACCTTGTCCAATATGGGTATCACACTGTGGGCTGATACAGATTTTGTTATTTCTACCACAGGGTATCTTGAGTATTCATCAATAATGACGAAAAGGTAATCGCCAGATGGTAGTGGTCCGCAGAAATCAGCACTGAGAGCACTCCAGGGTTCTTGAGGTAATTCTGACATTTTAAGTGGTTCCATTTGTCTTGACTGGGTTATTGCTTGGCAAGCTAAACAGTCTTTGATCAAGTCGTCTACTCTATCATTTATTCCTGGAAACCAGACCTTGGATCTAAGGAATGCCTTGGTTTTCGCAAGACCTTGGTGTCCCTCGTGAGCAATTTTAATAGCTTGGTCTCTCAACGATTTCGGCATAATTAATCTTTTGTCTCGAAGTAAGACAGTGTCACAGTGTACAAGTTCATCTTGTATGCTCCTATATGCCTGAAGTTCCTCTATGTCTATTGGATGGTCATCCAAATTCTTCATTTCGTACCATCGTCCATTACGTGTATACTCTATAGCTTTCTGTATTGTTCGATCTCGTTCACTCGCATCTTTAGTGACATAGCATTCGGCACTGATTGTGTGGCTATTAAACATAGCACTTTCTTTTCGTGCGGCACTGTTTTTCCTGTGTGGCATGTAATCAGCAGGGTTATTGCATCCTGGTTCATATTTGATAGTAAGTTTGTATGGTTGGAGACGTAAACCCCATCTCTCTATTCTCAAGGGTGGTCTCGGCTTCTGCCATATCTTCTCCAGTGGCTTATGGTCTGTAATAATGTTTACATTGTTAGCGCCACGGATGTATATGTCAAAGTGTTCACAGGCCCATACTATAGCTAATGCTTCACGTTCAGTCTGGCTGTATCTTGATTCTGTATCAGTTAAGGCTCTCTAGGCCGTAACTACCATTGAGGCAAGTGAGGCAAATGCCTCACTAAAATTTTACATTTTTCTAAAAAAGTGAAAAAGTTTTACATTGTAATATGAAACATAAAATTATGTGTCTTCATAGTAAATAAATATTTCCAACTTTTGTTTCAATTTCTCCAAATCGTTCATCTCACTAGTTTTCCATTTAGAACGCATGTAAAATATAATTCAAAACGTTCATCTCACTAGTTTTCCATTTAGAACGCATGTAAAATATAATTCAAAACGTTTGTTTTGTAAATTGCTTGATTGTTTAACATCCCTTCTAAGATTTTCTCATTCATATTGAGACACTTACTGCCGGTGGAGGGCTGCTTGGTTTCCGGGTCACTCAAGATGATTAACTTTTTTGTGTCATCTCTTACTGTGGCATACAATGTTAGCGCCATCCAAAGGACGGTCTCCACATGTATATGTCGATGTAAGGTGTTCACAGGCTATAACCACTGTACAAAATAGCAAGATTAAATCTTCTAATACGTTCAGATCTGGACCATCAGGTACTACCCTTGCCCCATCTGGGACTAAAATACCCAGCACCTTTGCCTCACTAAATATTTGAGCCTAGTTACGGCCTTGCGGCTCTGCTCGCATATGCAATGGATTTCTGTTTCTGAGTCATGATAGCTCCTAGTCCGATAGGGCTAGCATCAACATGCACATTGATTTCACTTGATGGGTTGGAATAAGTCATTACAGTTTCACTCGACAGTTCTTCCTTCAACTTGTCAAAGGCGTTCTGCTGCTTGCAGTCCCATTTCCAGTCTGATGATTGACGAGTAAGACTGCGAAGCGGTTCAGTAATAGTAGCATAGTGTGGTATGAAACGAGATGAGTAGTTCGTCATCCCTAAGAAGCTGCGTAACTCTGCTACATTTGTCGGGGGTATTGATTCCTTCACTGCTTTCACCTTTCTAGGATCTGGAGATATTCCATCTTTGGAAAATACAATACCGAAGAATGTGATTTTGTCCTTGTTGAGTTCACACTTGTTACTGTTGACTGTAAGTCCACTTTTCTGAAGTGCCTGTAGTGTTGCTTCAAGTGCGCTGTCATGTTCCTGTTGGGTTTTTCAGTACACGATGATGTCGTCAGATATGTTCTTTGCGTTTCTAACGTTTTGTATAATACCTCTTATTGTTTCTTGAAAAATCTCTGAGGCTGACGAGATATCAAAATTCAGCCTTTTATATGTAAATAGTCCTTTAGAGTGCGTGCTAAATGTTGTGATATATCTACACTGTTCTTCAAGTTCCAACTGGTGGTATCCAGATTTAAGGTCAAGTTTGCTGAAGATTGCTGCGCCATTAAGTTCATGGATAAGTTCTTCAACTGTTGGTAGCACGTCTTTCTCTTACTATGGCATTGTCTTTCTCTTACTATGGCTTTGTTCGCTTCACGCATGTCGATGCAGAGTCGAATTTCGTTAGGATCTTTTTTAGGTGGTGTAACTATTGGCGAAACCCATGGCGTTGGGGTGTTTCCAACTTTCTCGATGATGTCTTGTTCCAGCAGGGCTTGAATTTCTTTCTCAACTTTGGGTCTCAGATGAAAAGGAGTCCTCCTGCTTCTCTGAGCAACAGGTTTAACATCCAAGTTAATGTGGAGCTTGACTGGCTTTCCATTATACCTTCCAATCTTATTTTTGAATACTTCTGGGTATCTCACTTCTAACTTTGGCTGTGTGGTCTGACTAACAACATGGACAAGTTCCAACTGAGGTGCTGTTGTATATCCAAGCAAAGCACTGTGACTTCCTTTAACAACATGAAACTGGAAAATTTCAAATTTGTTTCTCGTTTCCACCTCCAGCTCACAATTTCCCAGAACTTCAAGTTGGCTTCCTCCACCATATGGCACTAGTTTTGTTTTGTCCCTTTTTAACTTGGGGCAACCTAGGTACTTGTATGTCGTTTCATCCAACACGTTTACTGTCGCACCAGTATCAATCATTAGTTTGCAGTGTCTCTTATTGATCTTTAGTGATGTCATAGGAGTCTTGCGTACTGACCTTACTTGTTCTTGTATACTGTATGTGTATTCTTCATCTGAGCTTGGTTCATCTGTGCAGTGTTTATGTTCCTCGAAATCCTGGACCTCGTACACTCGCCTTTCTGGATTTGACTTCCTGAAGCGTTGACTGCGACATACTTTTGCAAAGTGGTTTAGCTTGTGACATGAATTACATTTTTTTCCTTTGGCAGGGCAAGGTTTCTGTTTGTGCGGAAATTCGCCACCACAGTTCCTGCACATGACTGGATGATTCTGTGTTTTCTGTTGTCTCTCAGATGTAGACCATTTCTTTTTGTAGCCAGTTTCACTTCTTGTTGACATCCTGTGTTCTGTTTTTGCTTTCACTTTATTTACGCTTTCCCTTTCCATTTCTGTTGCTTGAGAGTCAGCAATTTCGAGTGTTCTACCCAGAGTTAGTATGTCATCTAATGATTTATCTGGTTCTCTCAAAGCTCTACGACGGAGGCGATTCGAACGGCAATTTTGGATAACTTGGGATAAAATTTCCTTATCAACATTCTGGAATTCACAAGTTTTTGCGAGCTTTCTGAGTTCAGTTACAAATTCATCTAGAGACTGACCTTCGTTCTGTTTGTATGTCCTGAACTTGTAGATTTCCATCTGAGTGTTTTTCTTTGGTTCAAAATACTTCTTTAGGATACCCTTCGTAGCTTCGTAAGTAGGTTCTGAGTTTTTCTTTTCGGCCTCATAAATATCATATACCGTTTCTCCGGCATAGTGAAGGAGTAGGGCTCGTTTTCTCTCCCCGTTGTCTATTTTCATTCCTTCCGACAAAGAGATTTTCAAGTCGGGAAACCCATCTCGGACCAGCATTACTTTTGTCACTTGCGTAATCGAAGGAAGGGAAATTCGGAAGCTGAAATGACATGTCGATCACTTTGTCCTCGTCGTCAATGTTATATTTTGAAAGGAAAACTCTGCTCAGTTGGTGCGTTTACATGCATATTTATTTTTCCGGAACATGTGCACATAACATAAAATACAAAACCAATACGAACACGAGACACACAATTACGGGTAACACTAATTAACAATATTGAGTATTTTTGACCATAGACTGAGTTACAGGATATTACAGCATCTGATCCCAGCTGTGATGTTTTCGGGGTCCATGTGTTATGTGAAATGAACTTTTGAGTTTGGAATACTGTTCGTTATCTCCACATATTTCATTTAAGAAAACTGTGATCTATCTATTGCATAAGTCTTACAAGCTGATTAGGGATTTCGAACTTTAATATAATATTTTCCAATTCCGTTTAGTGCAAAGAAATAAAAAAAATTATAATTATGTAATGTCTGTTAGCTGCTGTCAGCCGACTAAATTGTGCACATTTAAAATATAAACGTTTGTAATCATGAGTTTCGCAGAACACATGCCAAATACACCCACTTTCAGAATATTTCTTGTTTTTTGTTATGTAAGTCTTATTTTCAGGCAAACTTTTTAATTACATACCGAGACGATTGGTGACTGTTCTATTTTACGTAAGAGAAGTTTTATAACAAAACTTAATGACGACAAGGCAAGATGATGAGTCTATATGATTTTAACTATTGCTATCTGTTTTCGTCCGTCGTCATGCGGTGTGCGTCATGTATTAAAATTTGATCATTTTCAGCTTCTTCTTTGCAACCAGTCAACCAATTTTGGCAAAAAGCATCTATAGGTAAAAAGGAACAAAAATTGTGAGTTTCATGGTCCCTGTCCCCCTGGGCCTGAAGCTGGGGCCAAAACCACTAAAATCAATGCATTTTTTAAAAAATCTTCTTTACTGCTGGACATCAAGCAGTCAAACTGTTTGTATGATTGTAATCAGCATTGAGTCCTCTACGAAAATAGTGAAATCCATTACTAAATAGATTACGTAGTGAAAATGAATTATTTCTTTGAAATTCTTTTTCTCTGCTGCTGGGTCGCCCGCGTGGCGCAGTGGTTAGAACGTCTGCTCCATAGTCGCGAAGAAAGGAGTTGATCCTTACGTCATGGCTTCGAATCCCACTGTGGGACGTACGGTGAGATCGATATTTCGGATGAGACCGTATAAACAGAATATAAACGGGACGTGTCGCAGTAGGTACTGGCGAAAAAGATCCCTCACTGCTCATGGGCCATTAGAGCCGAGCATAGAACAAAATTTGCAGCTCTCCATCGGCAAGTGGTGGCGTCTGCATATGAGTAAAAAATTCTCGAAAGGGTCGTTAAACAATATACCATCAATCAATCTTCAAAAAAAACTGAACAAAATTTGCGTGACGCAAAAACTCTGGTCTGTTCTCTCGTTTTCCCGTTATAATATCACTTTAAAGAATAAAAAAAAATACTGTTGCCAATCATGCGATGCCTATTTGTATTTCAAAAGATTAGATCTTTTTTTGCATTAAAAGATACTACCATATATGGTCAATAAAATGACATAAATAAACTCTTATGGATACTTTCTATCCGAATTTATCTATTCTTTCTCGATTGTTTTTGATATACAATGTATTTGTTATATTTATATGCGTCCTTTATTATACCCCCGCTCCGAAGGAGACGGAGTATACTGTTTTACCCTTGTGTGTCTGTCTTTCCATCTGTGTGTTCGTGTGTCTGTCCGTAACAAATTTCCGTCGCAGTTTTCTCAGCAACTACTCATCGTAGAAGCTTGAAATTTTAACACAATCTTTACTGAGGCATGCCATACGGTGGGATACATTTTTGTTTAAATCCGTTGTCAACTTCCTGTTTGTCTGTGCGTCTGTCTGTTTCAAATTTTCGTCACAGTTTTCTCAGCAACTACTCATTGTAGAAGCTTGAAATTTTAACACAATCTTCCCTGAGGCATGCCATAAGGTGGGATACATTTTTGTTAAAACCCGATGTCAACCTCCTGTTTGTCTGTGCGTCTGTTTCATACAAAACAAATTTTCGTCACAGTTTTCTCATTAACTATTCATAGCAGATGCTTGAAATTTTAGTACACTCTTTCTTGAGGCATGCCATATGGTGGGATTAATTTTGATATGAATCTGATGTCAACTTCATATTTTTCTGTTCATCTACCTGTAATTGAACTTGTTTCTATCAACATGATAATGTTAATTTACATTCGAGCGGGGGTATTACTAGTGAGTATTGTCTCACAGATTTCTTGTTAAATTTACTTATTTTCACATTGGAAAATTTCTCACATAAATATACAAAATCATACAAAAACAAAGATTTGATCCTTCATTAAGAGAGAAAAACACGTTTTACTGATGAAAGCTTTTCAAAGCTTACATACATGTAGTTCTAGCTTGTTTTGAAAAACTTAGTTATTTAATATATTTTTTCCATTGTTCAATAACAATTTTGAGAGGCAGAAAAGAAGATATTTTCATACGCCACCATTCCACCAAACATATAGTCCCTGAGAGATTTCAAATGCAGTTTCTATTTCAAGTTGTACAGTTGTGACGATCCAGGAAAGAAAGATATTTTTTTATTAATCTCTTACACCTCAATATACAAGACATAAAAGCAAATATGATTTGAATATTTCATCTAGTCAGAAACCAGAGAAGAATCTTGCCTTAATATTTCTAGTTTTTAGCTGGGCTTATTGCTCAAAGAGCAATTGCCGGCTTATGTCATCCTGTTCAAGGCAGGAAGTTGACCCCATAGTCGCCTTTTTAAAGTTACGTGCAAAAATATACTTCTTACTCTCAACCGCTTTTGAGATAATACAAACGCTAAATAAAACAACAAAAATAAAACGAAGTTTAATCTCTATAAATAAACATTAGTAGTAATGACTTTGAAAACTTCAGTCCTAAGTCAAAGAACATAGTTCATTATCGTAAGGGTTTTTGATAACCAGTGTTATCGTAGTTCTCTACACATACGAGGTAAAGCAGGAGAGGGAACCAGACTGGCCTGTTTGTTTACATTCAGCTGCGGTACCAGATTAATTCTGATTCTGACGAAATCGGACCGTGGTATTAGGATTGAAAAACTCACTGTCAGTGTCTTATCATTTATATTGCTAGTTTTAAAATAATTTTTTCATCAAGATATAAACGTGATTCATGTAAGAAATTCATTCTACTCTGTAAATGAGCCTGGCTCTCTGTACTTCTGAGTACTTTGATTATTCATTATTTATTAAACTACATTTAACATTGTACAGATATCAATACTCTCTTGACACCAAATCATTAAACCTGATTTTTGATGTTAAACATGAAAAATTCATTTTCAATGTCAATAGCTACGAATATCGGACATAGCAAAGATAGGACTTGGATGCAAGTAAACATTCAGGCGCGGTTGCTAATAGCGCGTAAATTTAAACATTTTCAGATTTCAGTACTTCATAAAGGTGCTTTGTGCTTCAAACGCGCGGAAACCTTGCAATGAATAAAATATATTTAGTAGATACAAACGTACTTGGAAAAAGTTTATCAGAAAAAGTCAATACCTGATGTATCTTATATAATAATATTTTGAATACTTATATCGATGCTGTTGGTCTAAAAATTATTTTGAATAAAGCTCAGACACAATTATATTATTTCTATAATTTTTATGATTACAATTCTTCATTGTGTAATAGCAAACATCGTTTTGAAAACATGCATTACGCTGATGTGATGTCTTTGGTTTTCGTTCACGTACCGTTACGTGATACACAAGTTCATACGAACTGTTAAAATCAACCAGAGTCACTCGAGGTCATTTTAGCCTTTGTAAATCAACCCCCACCCCCCCACCCCACCACTTTTTTCCCCAACATAACCTTTACTATAGTAAATGTCCATTGATAGGATGGTTGCCCCCCCCCCCCACTTTATAACCATAGTATAGTGATATCATTGTAGGGAAAAAATTGGAAGTGATAGTAAGTTGGCTTTGAAAATGTTGGCCACTCCCCCCCCCCCCCCCCCCCCCCCCCCCCCCCCCCCCCCCCCCCCCCCCGAATTAGGATTTTCGAGTTTCGGCAACTCTTAATTTTCTTTTTTTTTTGTTTTTTTTTTTTTTTGCTTGTCAACTTTTTCAGATAAGTAAAAAAAAAAATTTCTCTGGTTGGCCCCCCACTTCCAAAAACGATGCTACGTGCCTGAATGAGTTATTTTCGCGCGCTAGTCCATGTACATTTATGTTATATTTAGAATATGAGTTCCCTACTGTATCGGCAGTTGAAACGAGTATTCTAAATGACTTGTGACATGACCTTCTTATGACCTCACTCATTTACAGGTGTATTTGGGTACGTATCTCTCAACTACTCAGATGAATTTGCCGAATTATCAGCAGTCTCAGCGTTATTGCCAGGTGAGGTGAACATGCTTGTATATATCAGTTTACATAATTATTTTGACTTCAAAGGAACACTCGATAGGTCATGTCTGAAGAATCGTCTTAATACTGCATTATTATCCTTGAATTCTAAAATCGCTTTTTTGTACTTACACATCCTTTCTGAAATCAATAATGCCACTATTGCATATAAACTTGTAAGCAAGTAACCTAGTCCTTCACATATGTTTTGTGTCACATCAAGAGTATTTGGCAGTTTTATGCAGATAAAAACATAGAAAACAAAACTTTTGTACTTTGATCTGTGTCTGAAGATTTAATATACAAAGAACTAAAGAGTTTGGATGTTAATAAAAGTAATGGTTTAGATAATATACCAGCAAGGTTTATAAAAGATGGTGCTTTTTATATAAAGGAACCTATAATGTCCATTGTAAACATGGTTTAGGTAATATACCAGCAAGGTTTTTAAAAGATGGTGCTTTTTAGGTCACCCGAGTAACTCAGGTGACCTATTGCTATCTGT